CGACCAGCCCAACCCTGGTTGGAAGCAGCAGTGGTACAGTCAGGATGTGGCCGGTTCTGAGATCTTCGCTCCCGGATCGGCCGTTGGCGAACCTAGAGATGCTCAATTACGGACGTTCGGACACTGCGCTGGTTGGGAATGGGGCTACGCATTGTGGGACGCTGCGAGCTGACCCGCTTCCAGCGACATTTTAATGATTAATGACATTGCATTGGGTAAAGAATATGGGAATAACATCATGGGCTGTACTAGCATGAAGCATGATAATTAGCCAACTGTTATAAAAGTTGATTCCCTTGCATCGTAACAAAAAGCATGACAGGATGCCAATAGCCGCCTCAGCATTGCTTCAAGAGCCAAGAGGGCAAGTTCGGTAATTGAAATCCAACAACAGAGGTTAAAACGTGAAGCTCGGCGACTTTATCTGCGGTTGAAGCACGGAAGAGCATAGACAAAAGTCTGCTAAGATAGAGTCGAAATGACTGCTAGCAACAACATGGTCAGTTCGGCTATTTCCTATGGCATTTAAGCTTGGTTTCGTCCACCAAAGCCTGCTTCACTAAAAGCTATATTTCAAAACTATTTTAGCCGTTGGACATGTCTCCAGGTAGTAGTACCCATGACGCTATTGGTTCTGGCTGGTAATTGGTTGGGATGGGAACCGGATCTACCTATAATGGATGGGGAGTAATTCGTATCGATCAGGCATAGTATCAGGGAAATGCAAGTTTATCTAGATCTAGAACGAATCGAATTGTCTTGGTTGGTGGGTGTACCTTACTGACCGAGCGATACTAACAATGATATATGACCATTGTGCGGGTAATGCTTCCATAATTTGGCTGTTTCCCAACGCGGACTGCCAAATCACTTCAATTGACTCAATTCCTGCTTAATCAATACTAATTTCCAGGATGAACCAGTATTGAATCATGATTTCCTTCGTTATTGCATGCGAGCACGGGCGAACGTCATGCTGATCCCGTTATTTGTGGAGCAGCGGAAGCTACCGAGTCACTATGATGACCATCAAATTAAAGTATATATGTTCGTGTATACAAGCACCACAAGCTGTGATTTGAACTGATAGAAACATATCCGATCTGAATACTTGCAATGGCATCTCATCCTCTTCAGGCGATAGGCGAGGCCGTCGGGGCGGCGGGAGCTGATCCTCGCCCTATGCAGCTTTCCTCATTGTTCCAGGGCGCCAACGATGGCCCGGCAAAGACTGCAGCAAAGTTAACCGGTGTTCAAGCTGCAGGGAAGAGAGCGGATGATGGACCGTACTTTACGAACAATGAAGCTATTCCGTTTCCTGACCCAGCCCACAGTAAGACTGCGGGAGGCATACCCGTAGCGTCCGATACCTTTCTGTTCCAAAAGCAGCAGCATTTTAATCGCTCGAAGCCACTCGAGCGGATGGTCCACCCTTGTAAGTTTTCGCCTTGGAGGTCAGCCTCATCGATTTGTCGTTCGAGCTAACGACGTCAAGGTGGCAGTGGAGCATTTGGTTATTTCGAGACCACAAAAGACGTATCCTCGCTCACCAAAGTATGTTACCTCCGTACAGGCAATAGGGAGCAAACGCAGACTGCTAATATTGTAGGCGCATTTCTTGAGGTCTGCTGGCGTGAGAACTCCAGTCTTTGTCCGCTTCTCGACTGTGACTCTGGGCCGAGAGTTCCCCGATGAGGCGAGAAATCCACGGGGATTTGCCATCAAGTTCTACACCGGCGAGGGAAACTATGACATTGTGGGATTGAACTTTGTATGCCTGCCCAATTTCCTGCGCAGGCCAGCGACTAACAGCGGCGATACAGCCCGTGTTCTTCTGTCGTGATCCCATTCAAGGCCCCGATGTTATTCGCTCCCAGTATCGGAATCCGCAGAACTTTCTGCTGGACTACAACTCCCTGTTCGATCTGCTCGCAAATACTCCCGAAGGGTGAGCGGGCCATGGAGATTATCGAGATCATCGCACTAACAGAAAATAGAAACCATGCAGGCATGATGTTTTTCAGCGACCACGGCACGCCTGTGGGGTGGCGTAACCAACATGGATACGGATGTCACACATTCAAGTGGTAAGTAGAGAGATCTTGCTCGGAGGGTATACATACTGACGACGATGACAGGGTTAACAAGAATGGCGAGTTTGTGTATATCAAATACCATTTCATCGCAGATCACGGACAAAAGCAGTTCACTGCCGAGGAAGCCATCCAGATTTGTGGTGAGGATCCGGACTTCTCAAAGCGTGACCTCTATCGGGCCATTGAAAAGGGCGAAAAGATCAGCTGGACGGCGCATGTCCAGATGATGAAACCAGAGGAAGCTGACCCTGCCAAATTGGGATTTGATCCATTCGATGTCACCAAGGTGTGGCCCAAGAGCCAGTTCCCCGTACGTACAACACCTGGATTAGGCCCCGGGATATTGTCACTGACACTTACATTGACAGCTACATGAATTTGGCAAGCTGGTCTTGAACAAAAACCCTGAGAACTTCCACCGAGATGTAGAACAAGCCGCCTTCTCTCCGGGAAGCATGGTGCCGGGGATTGAGGACAGCCCGGATCCTCTGCTGCAGTTCCGAATGTTTTTCTATCGTGACGCACAGTATCACCGGATTGGCGTCAATCTGCATCAAGTACCTGGTATGTAAAAAGTCTTCTCAAGCGGGGGGGCCAAATTAACAGGCATAGTGAACTGCCCATTCATGGCCTCGTCATACTCTTCACTCAACTTTGACGGACCCTTGCGGGTCGACGCGAACCACGCGATGAATCCTCAATACACACCCAACAGCTTCGTGCACAAGTTCAGACCGGATACTGCCGAGGCGCCCTACCAGCTGGCAGATAACACTGTGAGCCGCAAGTCTCACTTCTACCACGAAGGGAAGTCGTCGGAGTATGACCAGCCGCGTGCTCTATACCAAAAGGTCATGGATGCTCGAGCAAGGGAGCATCTTCATTCCAACACTGCACGCATGCTCAAGGTGGTTGAGTACCCCGAAATTCAGCTCAAATACCTAGCACAGCTATTCTGCATTGCTCCGGAGTACGCAAAAGGCGTCTATGATCTACTCCCAGAGCAGAAGTTCGATTTCGGCCAGGTGAAGGTGAAGGCTCAGGGTGCTGAGCGAGCAGGAAAGGAGGCCAAGTTTCTTCCTAGCAAGAGTACCGATATTTTGGTCGGCAAGTCTCCAGCAATGCCTGTCTACAATTAGTGATCCTCGGTCTGTCATAGTTCTTTAGTATGTGATGGTTGTCGGATCAGAGGGATGAAAAGGGCCCAGGCACCGAGGTTGCCAGAAGTTTTCAAAATTTCTATTGATAATCATCTCGATATTACTAAGTTCAGTCCAAATTATAATATCCCGATGATTCATTGAAACAATATTATGCCCGAGAGACGCACATGTCCATGAACATTCCTAATGATTTGGTAGCAGGCTGGCTACATCTGGAGACACAGCGTCCAACCAAGGCCCTTAAAAGGCTAAAAGTGAGCTCTATTTACAGACAGGAGTCGAAGTTGGTTGTGAGACTGCCAAAGCTGGATTTGTCTGCGAACATCCATCTGCAACACCAAGAAGAAAATCATCCACTGCAGCATCATAAGCAGCTCCGCAGTTCGGATCACTAGAATAGCATTAGTATAGGTGTTCGTGGAGTCGAAGTTCATCAAAGCTGACACACCTTGACCCTCCGCTGGCATTGTTAAAATAGGAGCAGATATCATGGGAGAAGCAGTCTTGTGTATACGCATTGCCAAGTGCAGTCCCCGTGCATCCTTCGCCACATCGGCCATTACAGGAATAACTGAAAGATTTGTCCGATTAGCCAGACTGCATCTAAGACGCCTCAGCAAAGTGCAGCTTAAACTTACTCCCCCGTTCCAGCACTGTTGGTGCCGTAATTGCTTCCGACCACCCCGACAAAGGAACAGCTCTGCCCGGCACTATTGATCCAAGTGGCTGTAGCAACAGCGCCGACTTTCAGACAGGTGACTGATCGTTTGTTGATGGCCATTCCTGGTGTCGAAGGCATTGCCATGGCCAAAAGAGGCAGTAGGGGAAGGACCGTGCTAACATTGGCTATCATCTTCGATGTTGGTGCGCTTGTGGATGGTATATTGCACTTGTTGCTTGCAGTCTGGAGGGCATCCTAGACGTTATATATGGCTTTATACTTTTTGTGTTTATTATAACGATTCTTATGGCAAGCCACAAGGCCTGGACTTTCGGCTCATTTACTCGTGGGTTCATAGGTACTTTCATACGTGAATCCAGGAACATGACAGGCCTCGGAGATATTCTCGGAAGATAATCACTCTTATCCACGTCGCTCCTTATTGTGTTCCAGGTATAGCACCAGTTGACACCATTTTCGTGATGATGACGCCTTAGTTTTTCCATAGCCTCCAGAGGCCCCTTAGGGTTGAGCCTCCAATAGTCCTAGCAGTCAAATGCCTGCGAGAAACAGTTGAAGGCGAAACGAATATGTGCTTATATACAAATAATGCCTCCAATCACTAGCACACAAGTAGTACTGAGATTCCGCACCAACCCCGACTCAACAAGGACGGTATCGGTCCTCCAACATGACCAGAGATCTAGTCACCATTCATTTGGCATACCGTTCTGGGGTTTATCCCAATCAATTTTTCAACGGAAACCTCGCTATCAACTAGCCCAGTAACAACTTCATTGCAATGTCTAGTGTCAAGTGTGATCAAGCCCGTTGAGACCCAAGCACCTTCAACAATCAAAATCGGAGTGTGTACGCACACGCAGTTCAGGTCCTCTTCCTTCAGTTGCGGAATTTATACAGGATGCAAGTTGCCCAGATAAACCTTGTAAGTACGCTCGCCAACACTTGAAGACATCCAGTATAATGTCGGGCTTCACTACCGAATTTGGTAAGACGCCAGAGCACTCCCCGCATTGCGCTGTATAGTCTCTGGAGAAGTACTCAATGCGCCATTTACCCATGGAAGATATGAAGTTGCCATCGATGCCTGGGCGCAGGTATGGATGCAGCGGTAGGCCAGAAGGCACCCAGAGTCCCATCTTTGCTCTATCTGCGCCTCATGTGGCGCCTCAACAGGCATCCAATATTACTCTCTATTATACGGCTCTGGAGGGTGATAGCATCTTTAGCATTGTGGCAAAACTTGGTCGCGGAGTCTGCAATATCACGCGTGCGAATCGGCTGATGGACGCAAAATACCTCTTCCCTGGATTCTCTCTGATCATGCCGGATGCAGCTAGCAACCCAGACAATGACACGTGTGTCTTACAAGCTCAGAACACCACTGCAACCTGCATCTATGGTGGCCGTCTTGACTGTACCACTGCCACCAATGGCCCCATCAACCGAGCCGCCCTGTATAAGTTGAACATCACGGTCGGCTCGCTGTGGACAGAAAACGCAGAGAATCTTCAGTCTGGCTTCGTCCGACGAGGTCCTGCGAGCCAACACGTATATCAAAGTCCCTCAATGTATGCAAAGGATTTGCACCATTACAGCATTGGTATTCACCTACGGCATGTTCAAGGACCTGGAGGAGAAATATGGTACGACAGTTGGGCAGACCATCACGCTGAACTTTCATTACAACTGCAGTTCAGCTGTGGGAACGACAGCAGATGAAGCCCTGGGGCTATCCTACGCCATCATCACGCTGCGTGTTGGGTGCAGGCCGTTGGTCGATGACCCACCATCCAACCTTTGATGTCTCCGTTGGAGCAGAACTAGTTGGCGGACAGGAACACGCTCCGCTCCTACCTGAAACTCCGGTAAATAGCAGATCTTGTAGACTGGAGAACAGGCATGATGGGTAACATTACCCCCACGACGGTCGTATCGAAACAGATTTTACGAACTTTCAAGGTAGATGTTAGGAGGCTAACATATCAAGTATGGAAAATCATGGCTCTAATAATCATGGCTCTAATGCAACTGCGTGTCAAACGGACATGTCTATTTACAATTAACTATATACAAAAAAAGGACTAAGCGTCCGTATTGGCACAGCTGAAGCTGCTGCTGCTGGTATCATTGTGGATGGCTGTGCCCGATGCATATAAGCCCAAGACACAGAGGGCCAGACCGAACAGGGCGATGGACACGTTGAGGATGGTGAGCAAAATCTTACGAGGGCTGGCGAACCACTGCCCATAGTTCAGATGAAGCCAATAGACACCACTGAGCCCATAGCTGAACCAACTGGCGAAGAGCGCGCTCTATATCTCGGTTAGCGTAGGTCTCAGAATGAACCGGGGATAGAACTTGACTTACAATCAACCCGTTCAGGTCACTGAACACGGGAATAGCCTCTGCAATGACCCAGGCAACAACCCAGCAAGTCAGACCGAGACCGATCCAGATTCCGACAGACCGTTTGCTACGGCTGTGGATCAGATCCGACTTATGGCAAAGACGGAAATAGATGTACTTGAGACCGACGTGACCGTTGACCACACCGGCTCCAACAATCTAATACTTAGTTAGCATGCATGCTCCGGCAGCAGAGGAAAAGAGACGCACCGTAGGAATAGCAATGCCGAAAGCGACCTTCTTCATCACAGGCCCGGCAGAGATCAGAGCCGGTGATGCTACGTCTTTGCCGACAAAGTAGTAAATCACCACGGCGGCAGTGAGATACAAGCAAATCTCAAAGGATTGAAGCATGAACAGCGACTTCTTGAAATCTCTGGGGTTTTCCATTTCGGCGATCAGGCCGAAAAAGGCAACGTGGGCGCAGTATGCAAAAACTATGTTGGAAACAGCCTGGAATCCGGAGTAGAGAGTGGTGTCGACTGTCGCCTCGATAATGCGGCCGGGGTGATCCTGCACACCGACAGAGACCATGGTGATCATGACGGCGCCAAAAATGCTGAGGAACGCTGTAAGATACGGATTAGTACCAACCAACGTCCCAGTTCCAAGTGACCTCAATGGACTACTCACATGCAAACGAAATCCACGTCAGCCCCTTCATGGTACGGGGGATCGAGAGGACCATGGAAATGACCATGCCAACGACACTAAAGACGATCGAGCAGGTGCCATGCTCAGTGATAGTGTTCATCATGACCCGAAAGGTCAGGATATGGCTTCCCATGACGAAGATAAAAAATAAAAATTGACCCAGACCGAAGATTTCCCGGCCAATAGGGCCCATCAGGATCTCTCCAGCATCCCCAAGGTTCTGGATTTGAGGATATCTCTCTCTAAATAACCCAATGTTGTATCCCGTGTAGGTTGCGAGCAGACCAAGACCGACAATCAAAATGACAGCTCTGCAAACGTGTCAGTAACGGCAATAACTACACCTTTGCTATTGAAGCACTTACGGGACAAGACCCAGAGCAGCCACAGCAGCCGGCAGGGATAGCACACCGAGCGAAACGGATTCACAGATCATGACTATATCAAACAATGTTAGAGGCCGAAAATACGATCACTTTGAGAAGATATCGTACGCAAGCCGCATTGCCTAGATTAACAAAAAAAAAGTAAAGGTCAGTAAAGATCCGAGCCCACTGGTGAGGTTGCCCAACACATACCACCACTTCAACGTCTTATACTTGATCTCTGCAGACTCCTCGTTTCCAAAGGCATCTGCAACCTGGCCAGTCTTGAGTTGGCCCTCCTCCTCATAGTCCGATGTGTACTTGGTCTCTTCGACTTTCTCATTCCCGTATGCGGGAGGGTTCGCGTTGATGGCCTCCATGGTGTTTCAATTCGATCACTAGCAAGGGAGGCAAGAGAGACCGGACAAAGGCGCAACAAGCTTGGAAGAGAGTGAATGCAGTTCAGGGCGGATCGCCTTACTGATATATGACTCGACAACTAAGTTTTCATTACTCCGTACTGGTGCCGATCCACCCCGGTGTGAGGCGAAGTTCTCCGTCGCCCCATACTTTGGATTCTCTATACATAATGAAAATTCACCAAGACCCACCACAAAGCTTGGCTTCGGAGTTGGACAGCAGGTCCCATTCGTCCAAAAGGTCATTGGATGGATCTTCTCCATGCAGTAATTGGCCACCCGGACCGATATCGGGTATCCGTCGTCTATCGAGTCTGAAATGATTCTGGAATTTGGAGGAAACCGGTGGCCAGGTCGGGGACTCCGCGTTTCATTTGTCAAGATTATCAATCTGTCTTTTGCGCCTGCAGGGCTCATGATTCCTTTTCATCAATTGCTGCCTACCTGTCTTGAGCCTAAGCCTTAAATTCTTTAGAGTTTGGCCGATGTAACACTAAATCCCCAGATGACGGGCAGAATCCTTCGGCCATTCCAGAAATACGACTGCAAACTTTTAGATATGGCATGATCCCACTCAACTTGCTCAGTTATGATTCACTTTTTTTACTTGGTGCTTCCTTAATTTCTGTGTGTCTTCGGCATAATAAACAGAGATTCAATTACTAACTAGGTAGTGTGTATAAATTAGAAGGCGATTAGAAGCAAGCAGCAGGGTGGGAGGCAAATACATTTTTCCATCCACGTGACTGCGGAACATTCCGATGAGATCATGGCTATTATCGATACTTAAGGGGTTGACCAATCCAAGGCTTGGGAGCATTTCTACAATTGTTCATCTGTGTAAAAATGACAATTTAACAGGGAGAATCACTGCAGTGAGCCGAAGAGCAGTGAGGAAAGAGGAGCGCATGATGACCTTGGGCGGCTGTCCAAGTCGGCCGACGAAATGAAGATCGGCAGAAAGGAGAGGATATGGGAGCGGGGGAAGAGCCTATAGAGGTTTGTTCTATCGAGAGAAAATGACCAGACTCAGCGTCTGCTGGTTCCTATCAAAGTCAGTTTATCTTAAACGGGCTTCAAAGTGAAACAGTGGACAGGTTATCAACTGGGGCTCAGGGGATGGTAAGTGATCGTTAGAATTTGCCGTGATTACCTGATTGCTAAGGTAGCTTAGTTTGTATGGGTAGATTTCATGCTCAAAGAGTTCCTCAAGAAGCGGGACGAAAGAAGCATTCGGAAAGCACTGGATGAATCACTGAACCGTCTCTCCCAGACGATCCGACACGTTCTGAAGGACATGTCAGAGAGTCTAAAAAACACCCCTCAATATGCAGAGGATGAAATGCTCACCTGGGCTACCTGTTCCACGTCGCAGCTCGGATTGGTCGAAATGAAAAGCGTTGCCAAATGGCGCTCGGAATCTGGCTCAAGTGAGATGTGCGAAGGCAGTATGCTTTGCTCTTTCTCCTCAAACCGAAGGATGGCTTGACGACGACGTAACTTCAATGGAGAGCAATATATATGGGGACAAGTAGGTAGGAGTGTATTCGGCTCTTGAGCGACAATGATCCGTTGAATGATGGAATGGCATTTCGGCGACTTGGGGATGTCTTCGCCGGTCTGGGTGACAAGGACGGCGCAGTCACAATGTGGCATCAGAGTTACTCGCTCACTAAGTACGTTAATGACAGCAATGGCGAGGATGAGGAGTTGGTCGAACAGTCTATTATTTGTAAGGGATGCTGCAGGTCCGTTGAGATTAGCAATATCTCGATTTGCCAATATTGTCACATCATTATACTCTGTGTGGCGTGTTTGCCACTGCGGAGGAGCGGGAGTATGCTGTCAAAATATGCAGTCAGCAGCATGACTGAATCCTGCTTCCTCCCCTACCAGAGAGCCTTAGACAGCGTGGTGAAGGACAGAAGGATATGGTATTTGTCGAGGATCATGGGATCAGGCTCGACGAGCTCAAACATCAATTAATGCTGAAATGGGGCATCAAATAATGAGAGTGATCCTTTTATTGGTCCCACCTCCGAAGGCTAGGCGTACCTCTTCCGATGAAATGAGCGGGCGGCGTGGTCGATGACGAAGAGCACAGCCCCGGGGGCCGGTTTACCTCCGCTATAGAAGCATACGACTCGAATCCCGTTGAAAAGGACATTCGTCAGAAATGTAGGAATGCCCATATCAGCATAAGTGTTGGTAAATTGCTATGCAAGGGTTCTGTTTTCCGCCGACGACAGCGTGTTTGTGTTAGCTCAAAGGTCCAGCGAGGCATTTGGTTGTTCTTACCCTATATAATCCGCCGCCGTGGACTGAGATCACAAGAGATTCATTTAGGGCTCCGATTGCGCCTCGTAGATGCGGGTGGGGTTTATGGCCGGCGCTGAGAACGTGCATTGACCTGTAAAAGCTGTGATACTATCTCGAGAAGCCTTCATTGGTGGCACTGGCTGCGCTGATTATCGTGGATACACTGCAGTGGTTCCGGGATAGACCTGAAGAGTGATATTCAGTGGAACGGCAGCAGAAGTACGCGCATCTACCATTGTCTTGGTGTGGAGGAGTGTTGTATGTGCAATGATGACATGTTTGGCTGTACTGATTGGCCTAGGATGACTGCCACGAGGGTTGAGGCGGGTTCTGGTGAGCTGCACTATATTACCTATTGAATGAGCTAAAATAAGCTTAGCTGGGGTGGGAAGGTGCATCCCCCGAGGATAACACAAAAAGTACTGCGGATATATGCGTATATCTATCTACGGGCCATCAGACAGAATATATGGTTCCTTACACATTGTTGATGTCCTCTACTTGTCTCTCCTCGCGCTCTCAAAACACCCAGCCTCGAATGGGCCGAAGTCTCAGTTCGCCAGATTGGAATTCAGCTCATTGCTTATCAAACTATGGTCATCTGAATATGCAATAACATAGTGACCGGAGAATTTGGGTGCGACAAGTTGTGATGGTTAAAATTTGTCACAATGACGGATTGGCTGCAAATGGGAGATTGCCAATGGTCTAGGCTCATACTTAACTAACATCATGCGAGTACGCAACACTCAGTTAGCTGTAACTTCATAGGTGTTCAAGTAAATGTTAGTAAATCAGACATTCGAAGCAAATAAGGATAGTTCTACTATAGGGACATCGATTCCACTGTTCGGGATGTCTAGTAAATTCCATTGGGCAGGAACTTGTCAAGCTTAGGCCCACCAACCAGAGAAGGTATCCAGACAACCATTCCAGGGGCAGTAGAAACAGTAGTGTAACGATGCGTTCAATAGAACTTCTTATGAGCAAACACTTATTCCGTTGCTTTTAACCGGTCTAGAACCAGACTGTGGCCAAGCGCCTCGGGTACGTCTGCAAATGCTTATGATTTGTATGACATCAAGGTGGGATTCATCATCCCAACTCTGTTTTGGCTGAGATATAACCTGGTGATGTAGATATAGTGTCAGGGACGCTTAAGACAAGATAATTAATACAGTCCCCTCATTGTGATTTTTCACACAGAGTTCAGCTGATCAGACTTGACTATCGAAACAAGGAAGCAGGAAAGCGACTAAATCAGAAGTTCTCAGTGGAGATACACAATGTCCACCTCGATCACCGCACACCTCAGCAACTACGGGGATAAGTATGGCGACCCAAGCCAAACAATGAAAGCCCTGACATGGCAAGGCAACCGTACAGTTAAAGTTGGTGAGTGATCTGTATTGCATTTCCAGCATGCCGATCAATTCGATCCTCCTGCTTATATGGTGTGTTACAGTTGAGACGGCCACCCCGAAGATCATTGATCCAGGCGATGCCATAGTTAAGGTCACAGGCAGCACTATCTGTGGAAGCGATCTACACCTGTACCACGGTATGTCCTGACTCTGCATGAGATAATAAATTGTCACTAGATCTGCTGATACGCTGCCATTTCCGACATGCAGGGGCCATCCCAGAGCTGCAGAAAGGTGATATCCTCGGCCATGAGTTCTGCGGCATCGTCGTCACTGTAGGCCCGGGAGTCCAGAGGGTTAAAGTGGGCGATCGCGTTGTGGCGTCTTTCCAAATTGCCTGTGGACAGTGCTATTACTGCAAGCAGGGGTTGTCCACAATGTGTGAGCGGACCAATACAGGCGAGAGTGCTACTAAGCTGTACGGGCAACGAACATCCGGTGGGTTTCCTAAAACAACCATGGTGAACTTGGAGAGGCTGCTATACTAAACTCTGTCTTAGGCTTCTTTGGATACTCCCACTTCACAGGGGGCTTTGCCGGTGGGCAGTCGGAATTTGTTCGCGTCCCTTATGGTGACGTGAACCTCCTTCATCTGCCTGATGACGTTCCTGATGAAAAGGGACTCTATCTTTCTGATGTCTTGGGAACCTCTTGGAATGCCGTTGTCGACACTGGGGTTAAGGAAGGCAACACTGTGGCAATCTGGGGAGCTGGCCCAGTTGGACAAATGGCAGCTGAATACAGCTTCTTTCACGGTGCTAAGAGGGTTATTCTCATTGACGGTGGCCAGGGAAAATGGCGACTAGACTTTATCAAGAAAATCCTGCCCAAGCTGGAGACAATTGACTTTACAGACCTCCCAAGGGGTGAATCGGTTCCCTCGACACTAAAGAAAATGTGCGACGGCCACGGACCTGATGTGGCAATCGAGTGCGCTGCTGGTGAGTATGAAAAAGGCTGGGCCCATTACTTTCAGAGATTGCTCGGCATGGAAACGGATACATCTGAACTGGTCAATGAAATGCTTATGTCTGTCCGTGGGTTTGGACACTGTGGTATTACAGGCGTATATGCTGGTTATGTATGTGGTACTTTTTATATGGTGAAACAAGCCCACTGACGTTGCAATGCAGTGTAATCACTTCAATATTGGTGCCTTAATGGAGTGTGGGATCAAGCTCCATGGCAATGGACAAGCTCCTGTGCAAAGATACTGGAAAGAGCTGTTGAGATATATTCAAGAGGACAAGATCCACCCACTGGATATGGTCACCCACCGGTTCAAGCTCGAGGACATGGAGAAAGTCTATGATTTGTTTGATAAGCGCGAACCGGGTATGCAGAAGGTTTTCATCCAGACAAAATTTTCCGCCTCTCCATCCCCAGGATCACCCCCATTAACAGTGCTTTGAGTACTACTTCATTGAGGAAATTATACTAGCAAATCTGGATGTTTCGCATGGGGTTCACACATCCAAGAAGTCACCATTAAAAACTGGACACTCAAGCTACACAGCAGTGAAAATCCTTCTATTCATGTCATCGCAATAAGATCAAGATTGTTAAGCAAGTCATTTTTGACTGGGGGAGCGGACAACAATACCTCGCTCTTCTCTTTTCTCATAGTGAAATGACGTCTCCAACAAGAGCTCCGTGGGGAGACTTATGATCATACAACTCTTCCTATATTATGCTAATATACTAAGAGAAAAGAATTCCATTGCCTGTAATTGACGCAATGTAATGATAATGACTCCTGGACCAGTGACAAATCATTTACTAATTTCCTTGAACTACTCTTTTGAATTTCTGGCAGAAGCAATGTATCTTTTGAGACCAGCCCAATTCAAAGGAATTGGTACCTTTAAGACAGACACTGGCATAATAATTTGTGTATTGACTATAGAGAGTGGTGGAAGCATGATCATTGAGAGCCTATAGAATACAGTGTGATTAGAATGAGCGACTACTGCCGATAGGCATCGAGAAGGCTGCAAAGACCTCGAAAGTCAGAGACAGAATAATTGGCAGCAAGATACATCCTTGCTGCATGATTCAAGTCTGTTTCAGAGACAGATTCAAGTCCATATCAATGAGTCCGCTTTCGACTTGCACCTTTTCAATAGGCAGAAACACAAAGAAGATACGCAAAACACCAGAATTGTCACTCTTTTCGGTCACATTCCGCCAGGAATGAGCGGTACCTCGCTGAACAATTACATCGCCCTTTTTCAATATTTTTTTCTCTCCGGAATCAAGGACTAGTTCTGTAGTGCCGTCTATTATAACAGTATAGTCGAGTGTTGTTGTTCGGTGCATCGGGACCGCTGAGCCCGGTGGTACCTCGATGATGGTGCAGGATGTGCCATTAGGCGGGGGCAAAGGCGATGGGTGCGAGAGCTGGGACTGATATTGCTTAATGTCGAGATCGGCTTTGGAGTCCGGGTTTGTAGAACTTGGAGGCGAGAGTCCTTTCACAGGGAATACATTTGTATTGTAGGCCAGAACGTAGTCTGTCACTGGTGGCTTGCCCGGGGGAACAGGGAACCCCGTGAATGATACCTGTTCACTAATTGCGCTGCTGAAGACAGCTTTGCCGCTTTTAGGATCATGGGCTGTTATGATGCGACGAAGCGGCTTTGGCTGTCTTTGTTCGGTTGACATGATTAAAGCCAAGATCAATGAGGGTTTATAGTAGAGTATCATTCAACAATGTCTTACGTTAAGACTGGGGCATATTCTATAATTATTCCAAGCATTTCATACTTAAATTATCAGGTTCATGACATATACCATATGACTCAAATGGTAGGTCATTGTACAGTTAATAACATGCAATGACAGTTCCGGGACGGAACTATGCGTAAAGTTAGGATTAATGAACCACGAAAGCTTTACCATACCTCAGGAATGCTTTTCCTACAGAGTAGCCATAGCCCCCTGTCATCTTAAGGTCATCATAGTCCCAACTAAAATCTTAACTCGTGTGCATGTCATGGCTGAAGATGTGTCAATTATGATGTATATCTCACGCGGCCAAAATCAACACTTATGCGCGATGCCTAGCATCTCGCCAACCCTGGCCTATACAGTAGGGCATTGGGAAGATAACCCAATGCTTTGGGTCATATATGGTGGCTGGACATTATTCGATCATGTAGAGGTCTTTTGTCCAGTCGGATCGCGGCCCTGCACATACTCTGCACATTAGCAATACTCCGTAGAGCAGTAGTAGCTCTCGTAAGCACGTGGAGAAAGCGAAGGCCGGAAAAGCTATGAATAAGGTGTACTTGGTGCCTCCGTATAAATGATCGTCAATGAGGTATCATTGTCCAATGGATAATGCAGGCTAGCCTTTATAACTGGAATTGCAAGGCCTGCAAGGTACCTCTCTGCCCGACTCATCCAAAACCCACAGGCTGAGAGGATTTTCGATCATTGGGTGCGTTTCCCATCAGGCACCTGGTTGTCCTGCGCCAAGAAAACTACGAACCCACTTGATTCATGGCACCGTCTATCTTCCAGGCCTTGGATGACAGGGAGGAGATGGCTCGGAAGAGAATGGAGTTGAAGACTGCGTTACATTATATGATACCCTGGTTGGGTCAGGAATTGGACGATATCCAGGAGACATTTGGGGACGATTATTGGCCGTACGGGTGGACGAGAACCGCAAACCTTGGAGGCACTGGTGCAGTACTTGTATGAACAGAAGATGATTGAGCGGACGGTGTCGGTGGACGAGTTGCTCGTCCCCGTCCGAAAGAACAACTCCCGAATCGGTTAACGAACAGCTTCTAGAGCTACGGTAATTCGGATTGTCAGAAGAGGAAGAACTTCTGTGGGACCGATATGTACTACCGAGTGCTTAGTGATATATCAAAACCTACTCCTAACAGATTGCTTCTCACTGTTTTGTCGAAGTAAGTGCGAGTGTTGCCCTTGCGATCGGCGGTTCTACCGTACGTCCTGTTCATACTCAAATTGCGAGTCAAAAAACTAATCACTGGGCCAGATATGCGACATGTTTTTCCAAGGTGAGCGTGGAAAATTTATCCGTTTCTATGCTCTAGCTCCGACGAGCAGGCTAAGTTCCCTTTCTTCAACCATGCCAATATCTTTTTTAGCCACACTTTGGCCCTATAGCAGGCGACTTCATTGCACTGAACCTGGGATGGCAATGGACCTTCTTCATATGTCTCTCACCATCTTTCTTACTCTAGCTTCAATGCGCTCCATGATCGCTGGTGGTCATCGCTAGTGGTCAGACTAGAGATCAACTCAATCATGCTGGTCGCCATCTTTGCCGTCTTTCTCCTCCTTCCCCAAAACCCTGTTCTCGCGGACGGAGTTCAGCAATCTCTAGAATCACAGTTTCTAGCAGCATCTGGTCTTCTAAGCCAAAGTCCTAGACCAGCCACTCCGTCCAACTGAGTTTCTGAATAAGTGCCACATGCTGAAATATACAGCGATTGTAATTCCTTGTGTTTATCATAGGACAACTAACATAGGTCGATCATTTTTGTTCTCACGGCCTCGAGTATTTCTGATGATCTGTTTAAGTTCAACACGGCGCAGAACGGGACCAACGGGTTGCTCCTGGGGATACTGTTATCTCTCAGATGCATGGTTGGCGAATGCTCCACAGGATGGGCCTCGGATTAGCCGATCAATTGAACTGCGAGGCGACACAATGGATATCGCAAGCCGGAAGCTCGTCTCTATCTGGTTTTAGTCGGTCTCATCTTGCCCGTTGGGTCGATTATCAACAGTATATGCCTATCCAGGAACACTCCATGGATTGGTCTTGCAGTTGGGATGGTAGTGGCCTCTATCAGGGTGCAGGCTGGCACGACCCTGACCTACTCCTACCGTTCCGATTGCTACAAGCCCCATGCGGCTAAGGTTTCGACACTCATCAACCTATTCGCTCAAATCCTTGCATTCGCCATTAGCTTTCGCGCCTTGCCATTCGGACAGCGCCACAGATTCCATGTTGCCTGGGGCACGTTTGCTGCCATCAACTTTGTGGCCTGGTTACCATTGGTGTTGCGGGACTGGAAGGGCGAACAGATTCGTAAGAGACGAAGAAAGCCAAAGGTGCATGAGGGTTTGGAGTTTCATGAATGTAAATGCTGAGAAATATGTTATTTAATGCTGCTGTAGGTCTTTACGTTTTTATCTTGGTAATCCATTTCGATGGTTATACTCATTCCATTCCATAATTTCTGGACATTGCAAGCTTCGTCGTAGCAATTCATCTCTTTACTTGGTATGATGTAAGGAGCTATAGAAAGCATATTAGTCCCATTAGTGCTTGCCCATGCTATGTTTTTGAGATATAATCCATTGGCATTGCTTTGGATTAACAGGGCGGGTTCCTCCCGTTTGCAGCCCCAACGGGCCATTCCACGTTGTCATACCAACTGGCCCCGGAACTCAAAAATATCATCGCGTCATAAAAGGGGAATGTTAGTATATGCTACTGTAACATAGTCACTGGAACAGTGGCATACTGGTGTTGGATACAAAACTAAAAGCAGCGATCATCCATGAAACACGACATTTGCATAGGGTAGAAATTCCCTGTGAATAAATTGCCGTAAAAAGTAGAGTAATATGCATGTGTAGACCAGTAGTACTGAGCTATCAGCATTAGCAGTTAAAGGCCTAAGATTGGAGACAACATTTGCGTAGATGCTCTTATTATTGGTGCAGGACTCAAGAGGTGTATACTAGTTACGTAGCTAGAAAGATCGATAATAGATAGAGATCTTAGACAGCTTTGGGCTTGCTGACAACATTTGGGCTAAAGTGAGCCATATGAATGAGATTATGTTATGGGTAATTAAATCTACTGACTCTTGCTTTTCAGGTTCTATTAATGCTATATGTATGGACTAATTACTTAATGGTTCCCTCTGGATAAAGGAGGTATCTGTAAATATAGAGCCTGGATAATCCAGATTCTTATGGATCTATTCTTGGACAGGTCAAGGTTTTATATAGATTTTATATAATTTAGGGAACACATCAACATTAGACAAGGACTTTTCCCCACGACCTTAGAAATTGATTATAGTGCTTTAAGGGGATTAAGTGCCCGTTTTCCTTTCCCCCTTTAATTGAATTTGCAATTTGATGTAGACTATGAGGGTGGGTAGATAGGGAATGAATAATTACCAAGGCATAGACTCCCAGATGGCAGATAGGAGTGGATGTGTATTCGAGGAGTGGATAGGACTCTGCTAAACAGGCATATAGACTCCAGAGTAGATGTGGACTTCAGAGCTAAGGAAACCTTAAAGTCGCCTGTATTTAGTATAAACCCACATACTCCAACGCACGACACTGCTACTAAGGTTTCTTTCCATATATATCAGCTGGACCATGTAGAGCGCTTTGAAGAATATAACGTCTCACATATTTGGACAGAGATATTTGACATAGACGAAGAAAGTCGCCAGCCAAGAACGGGTAGATGAACAAATCGAGGTTTTGGATGGTATCAACTGCAGACCGCACATTTGGACAAGGTGGCAGTCACTTTTGCAGAGCTAGCTGGTACCAATGGTATCACTAGATTGTACGATAAATAAATGCCGACTAGAATACCCTTTAAAAAGGTCTTTGCCCTAGCGGCTCAATTCTTGTCTACCAAGTCCACACACCGCGATATTTCGACGGCATCCTTACATTCCATCAGCCTGCTTTTCGAAATCGCAATAAGCGGGGGTAATAAAAACTCACCATGTGCCCTGTCGGCTCCAGCCCTTCAAGCAGCGTAGTCTGGTATACCAAGTAGGGATTTCCCAACGAGATGCCCCCGTCAGACAGACAACCCACAAACGGCATATAGGCCTCCGCCTTCGTCGCGGTATCAGCCCTGACATAATCCGAATACATCGGATTGCCAGGTCTCTTCATATCATCCGCAACGACAATTGACCCAGGCGCAACGATTCCCAACTCCTCGGCTAATTTCAAATCATTCAAATACGAAATCTTGGAGTGATCTAAGAACAGCATATCCCATTTCTTCGAGCTCGGTCCCTGGTTCGAGGTGTCCGCCGCAAGACGGTGCAGGGACGCCCGACACGGACCCTCCTGAATCTCAACGACATCACTGAGACCGGCAAGTTCAACCAAAGCGCGCGAGACGGATGCGAACTTCGGGTTCATTTCAAGACTAACGTAGCGAGGCGCCGGAATGCCTGTGTTGCGCATTGCGTTGCCGAACATGATGGCCGAGTAGCCGATGTAGCCGCCGATTTCGAGAATGGAGCTGGGCCGCTCGGTGGCAATAATGTCGGTGATGATGCTCCCTTTGTATGGGCCCACGTTCATCAGGAAGTCCTTGGTGCGCGCGAACTCATCGACGGCGGCGAGTACGGCCTCCGGCGAGTTGCGGATGGAGGAGAGTTGGGGATGAGTGGTTATGAAGTCGAGGAGCTGGTTTTCCCGGCCGTCATTGCACTATTTGGATTATTTAATTCAGAGTATATTTGAGCTTCGCAGGGACTTCCTTACGAAGACATTTTCTTCAGGCTTGTAGAACCCCTGCAATATGGATGTGTTTGCGGTTAGGACAGCCATTATGAATGGTTATATGGTTAATGGAAGGACACCAAGAACACAGCAGAGAATTCCCAGAAACAAATTGCTGATGTCTGAAAGAATAGTTTACAGATGATGACATTCGTCACCCTAATAAATAATCATTAATAACTAGCGTTGCAGTGGGAGGATAACTATAAAAGCACTTCTGCACCCGCAGAATGAATCATGACACCATCACTTAGGGCTTCGAATGTAACGCGGGACCACCCAACTCATTTTATCCACAACTACGATTCTCTAGACCATTTCGTCGCCAACCGGTGTGTCTCAAGTGTGCTTCTGAATGCGGAAGTTTGACAGTCTTGATTGAGCCACCGAAACGAAAATTTGTCTGATCATGACGCAGACCAGACTAGCCAGATCATAGGCTCCCATATTCCGCACCGCGCGTCAGCACTAATATGTACTCAATTGAATTCCGGTTGCTCGCCAAAAACATGTGTCTACGTTCTTTGATTCCCCAAACACCCTTGACTCCAATCACGCCACCATGGGCGATACAGTCCGGACCGACGTCTTGATCGTCGGGGCTGGTCCGTCCGGGTATGTTGCTCTATCAACTTCCTTCTTCGTCTCCCAAACTAAATAAATGACCACATGGACTAATTGCCAGTGAAAAGGTTGATGGCCGCCGCCTGGATGGCCCAGATGGGAGTGAACACCATAATAATTGATCAGAAGTCGCATCAGACGCGATGCGGTCGAGCGGACGGACTGGAGAGTCGAACGCTAGAAATTCTGGACAGTTTCGGCCTGGCGGATAAAGTCTGGGCTCAAGCAAACCACACCGTGGAGATTGCATTATGGGTATGACCCTTCAAGTTGTCTTCGATAGCAAATCCACTGACTCAACCTCTGTCGCGTCCAGGGCACCACAGCTGATGGTAAGCTGCAAAGGCAGAGTGTCACCGCGAATTCTAAGCCTGGATGGTCCCGGTTCCATGAGTCCACGCTCAGCCAAGGTCAAATAGAAGATTATCTCATGGAATATGTGTGGGCTCGAAAGCACATTGAAGTGAAGCGGGAAACAATCCCCACCTCGTTCGAAATCGATTACATGACGATTGACGACCACGATGCGTTTCCGATCCGCGTCAATCTGGAGAATGTGCCATCCGACCCAATGACTCCGTTTGACGGCGTGGTTACTCCGAGCAGCGAGCTCAGCGAGGCTCAATCGGATGATTCTGGATACGCAGGAATGGGGACAACGGTTGAAGCCAAGTACATTCTGGGCTGCGATGGAGCCCATAGCTGGCTCAGGAAGCAACTCGGGTTGAGGCTTGAGGGCGAAAGTTACGACGATTCTTGGGGTGTTCTGGATATTATTCCCTTGACGGATTTCCGTAAGTTCAGCCGGATCAAGTATCGCTATTTACATTGCTAATCCAAGCTGGTCATCCAGCCGACATCCGGAAACGTTTCATTATCAAATCGAATCACGGAACTCTCATGATGATTCCACGGGAGAGAAAGTTGGTGCGCGTGTACGTCGAGCTCCCACCAAAAGCAGCCGACAGGTATCGCAAAGAACTCAACGCCGACGTCCTCATGGAGCAGGTTGCAACTATCATGCAGCCGTATACCATGAGAACATGTCACATTGACTGGTCAACGATATATAACGTAAGCTCACCCCTTCTTTTGCTCTTTTGACGCTGTACCTGAAACACCTAAGTTAACAACACCAAGGTCGGTCAACGCATCTGCCGAAATATTGGTCTATATAACCGCATATTCCTCGCCGGAGACGCCATCCACACGCATTCCCCGAAAGCCGGACAAGGGATGAACGTCAGCATGCAAGACACGTTCAATCTCGGCTGGAAAATCGCATCAGTTATCAAGGGTGTATTGCTGCCACGTGTCCTCGAGACATACCAACAAGAACGGGTGCCCGTTGCCGAAAGACTGATTGCACTAGACCAGCGGATCTGCCGAGGAATGTGTAGCCAGCGGAACGGGCATCCAGAGGCTCAACGTGGCCGCTTCGACGAGGACCACAAGCGGGCGCTCGAGGAGGAGAATTCCTCAATGTCGGGACTCGCTGTGATCTACCAGCCTAATTCTCTCGTCACAGCAACAGTTTGGGATGCGTCTTTGCCAAAAGACGTGGCGCCCTGCAGGAGCAGACCATCTGTGGCCCGGAATCTCCGAGTCGGCGCTCGCATTCCTAGCGTGCTGATCCTTAACCAAAGCGACTCGCAAGCATGCCATCTGCAGCAGGTCCTCCCCAGTACGGGACAATGGAATCTGATCGTTTTTGGAGGTGACGTTGCGAACGCGGATCAGAAGCGCCGCGTCGAAGATCTCGCAAATGCGCTCAATTCCCCGGATTCAGCTTTCGAGAAGTTGAATGACCCGGTATCCGTGGCGCGGCGCGGGTTTCCGGCTCTCGGCGTGTATCTCATTCACTGTGCGGATAGACTTAGCATCGAGCTGAACGACCTGCCGATGGTCTTCCGTCCTTGGACAAAAGACGGTGTAGACTATGGAAGGGTTTGGGCTGATGGCGTAGCTTACCATCATGCCGGCGGAGGGAAGCTGTACTCGTCTTTTGGTATTGGGGACAAGGGGTGTATGGCTTTACTGCGGCCTGATCAGCATCTGGCTTTTCTTTCGGATATTGATGATGTGGAGAGTTTAGAACGGTTTCTGCGGTCGATCATGCCCGAAGCGACGCAGAAGCCTCTGTCTTTATAATACAGCTGGAAATATGGTAATAGAAGCTGTATATAGGGGCCATTTACCTCGGGTTTGTAGCAGGAATCGGATATGCATTAAAGGAGCAATATTATATTCACACAAACTAATTCTGTAGACCAACAGCCCTAACCCGCTCAAGGTACTCCTGCAAACTATCATAATCTCTAGCCCCAACAGTAATCGCAGCATGGCTTTTTGATCGTGACTCATTATGTACCCAGCCACTAACAATCAAACTGCCTTGTCGAATTTCCTCCGAAAAGACTTCCTCGAATTCATCTCGCGTACAAAACAAATGCCCGCTAGTCATCGCAGCCTCGAACAGCCCACGCCGAGTGAAATGACCCGTGAGAGGCCCTAGATGAAAAGTGCCAGTAACCCGAACGTTCAGATCAATAACCAACTGCTCCCCGCTCTGTCGATCGATAACAATATCCACACCCGCCGGGCCATGATACCCTTTGCGATGCAAGAACGCAGCCACTTTGCCCGTGAGCGCGCAAAACGCCTTTCGAAACCCTGCCTGTTGCCGATACGAGATGCGCCCGCCGATCCAATGCGATTGGTCGTCGAATAGTTGCTCACAGCAGGCAATGAATATCGGTTGGCCGGTCTTCGTGACGAACAATGATAGAGCCACCACAGGTCCGTCAACAAAGTCTTGCAAGACGATCGAGCAGGGATAAAGATGACTGTTCGTTTGGTTAAGTTGTCGTAGCATGGCTCCTAACTGGGTTGTGAGCATGGTTTTTATCCGCGTTCGGTCGGTTTCGGAGGTCACGGCAAAGGTGCCCATCCCTGAAATCGACTGAGGTAATTTGACCATGAAAGGGATCTGATGTTGCTCGATTGACTCAGTCATCCGGGCAGTCTCAATTGCAAGTAGACTGGGATCCTCGTAGTTGACAAGCATGGTGTCAATGACCCGAGACAGCGGCGTTGGTAATCCAGACACAGCCAGCCCACGTTTTGACAGGATCTCATAGTGAGTTTCCGGACAGGTAAGGTGTGGTAAATGCGACAGGCAGTCGGTGGGCTGTAGAACGGCGATCCTCGCGTCCAAGCCTAACTCTATACTGTCCGGATGCTTTGCAAAACTCACGATTGGCCGCTGGTCGAGCTGTAGCTGGGCGAACGTTTGGTAGACATCAAGATGATGGGCGGGCACAGAATCTGTAGCTTGAGGATCCCCTTCGCTTTCGCCGTCCACTCTTCTTTGTGCAATAACGTCCAGAATAACTAGAGGCATCCTGCCGGCTGAGAACGCGTATCTCTGTGGTACCAGGTTGGCGGCCATCGTCAAGGACGACGTGGCGTCTTCCTCCTCTTCTTCCACTTTGTACCCGTAGGTAAACTTGGCCGATGTAGCCTCATGGGTGTGTCCGAACTGTAAAGGGTAGTAGATCAGGACGGTGGTCTGGCCATCTTTCGAATCGACTGCGTAGAGATCGTAGAGGGTATAATCGAGAGTGATTAGAGATGGGGTATCCATTTTAGTAACTCATATCGATGTATGAGAATTGGAAGAATATTGAGCCTAGAGAGAAGAGAAAGCGTTGAGATTGACGCTTCTACGGATTTGCATTCCAGCGGCTGGATCCGGATGCCTTCACTTTCTGTTTTCGGCCCCTTGATGCGACCGCTCCACTGCCTGCGATCGTCGTAGCCGATTCAAATAGGAGAAGCTCGGTGAGCTCATTCATTGGATAAATTCGTACGTTCCAAAATTTTCAATTTAACCTGTAAGACATCCTAATCCGGAGCTCTGACTGGCCCCGCGCAGCTAAACCAAACCAGCCTATGATTGTTACATCGAAGATGGAACAAGATTTCGCTCAATATTCGGAGCCCATGCTGTTTTCTACACCTCAAGTCCAAGTGCTTAGTGCTTCCCTACGGGAAATGGAATTTGGGTCGTAGAATGGTCTCTCTCCTAGAGAAACGACTCGGTTTCCAACCCGAGCACCATTATAGTCACTGTCACCGTTGTCAGAAGGAATCTTTTACATGGCTTTTCCCACCATATTCTACTTACTATGTTGCAGTATGGAACACAGAGCGGCTAGTAGAGGTTAGAAAGTTGACTCACATGGGGTTTCATGGGTTTGTGCATACTTATCCCATATAGCGACATCATTTTCACTCCAGCGGAATCGCACCTGAAGGTCATGGTTCTCAGAAATTAATTTCAGAACTGAATGTTAGAAACATGGTTAGCCAATTCATTACTTAATAGATGTCATGTGAGAATCATACAGTAAGACTTTAACATCTCACTTTCATAATCTGTCACATGGTCAATCCATCCTGCGCGGATCTGAAATCCAGCAGCAAACAGACTCTTCCATCTGCTGATTATTAGTTCATTTCTCATTCATCGAATTTAAGAAGCTCATATTGTTATGCTCTTACCCAGTCACCGGGTTTGTGCGCACAACGGGACTGTATCAGCCTTGGTCAGAGAAAAATTTAGAAAAGAACTCAAGCAAGTGCATATACTGACTGGGAGGCCTTGAATTCCACTCCGCTGTTCTCCGGATTGCCGCGGTTCTCTGTGATAAGTTCCATATTCTTGTCTCTGACGGCATCATTGAACGCAGGTTGGTAATGGGTGGCCGTCAAACCCTCGGCGAATTTCTTCAATGCTGGGGAAAGTCGGTCGTACGCCTCATATCCAGACGCCCAGAGTGTATCTCCTCCTGCGTCCTCCGGAGGAGTCACGATTTTCAGAATGGCGTAGTCAGATGGCACTTGTTCAAAGGTGATACTGCCACCTCTGTAAATAACGAGGTTGTCCCAGGTCCGTAGACGATCTACTTACTCTGAATGCCATCCCTCGCTAGCTAATCGCTTTGTACTAGGACCACAACGACCCTTATACAGCTTCTTATTCTGCTCTGAAGACATAATAGTCACCTCATCGTCGACCTTCCCGTCCTTGTCTACTGCAAGCCCGCGTTTGCCGTTCGAAAGGGGGTGTTTATGGAGATAAGATGCCGCGGGTCTGCCTGTCAGCTGCCCGATCTTGATCGCCAGGTTCTTCTGGTCAGCGATGCTCAAGTCCTGGTTGCGCAGGAACACCACTCCACGCTGGGAGACTGCTTGTGAGTTAGTATCTTAATTACCCTTTCGTCACAATAGAGATTCGGACCTATGATGCCCAAATCCCGGATCTTGGCATCGTCGTGCAAGATCTCGCTCAGTTGCAGCGTCGAGAACTCCCGGCCAATGGCGGAAGTTAGATCAAATGACTCGTATTCTTCCAAGCTTCCGGAGTATTTGAGGGGACCTGAAAGCCTGCTCGCGGAGATAGATTTGCTAGGATATCTATCGTCTTGGGGGATGGGGTATGCATCTGCAGAAGGGGGTGCCATGTTCGGGTCTGTGAGAGCAGAGGGGTAGGTGGAAAGTCACTGAAGGACAAAACCTGACTTCACTAATGTATCCATATATTATGAAGGAGTACCACTATTCCTGCTGTTCAATGCAACGTTGCAAGCAATCACAAGCTTTGGCATTTTGACATCAGTTTCTGAGAACGGATGCATGATTGAATAGACCTACTAGTAGAAACCTAGAAGATGAGAACATTAGATCTAATAGATATGACCAAGCCATTGCACAATAACTACAAGTACTACTAGTTACCGCCGGCGGCGCAGGAATGACGTCTGTTTGTGACATATTTGACATGCAAAACGGAAGCAGTGGTCTTACACAAGTTACTGATGTCATTGACTATAATGCGCAGTTCAATTGCATGCTGGGAGGTATATAGCCAGCGCACAAGCGCAGCCTGGACATTGACATGGTGATTTGATGAGGTATATCTTGTTGTATTTTATCATTTTCTGGTTATGGATGATGCCGATCGAAATGCCTGGCTGCAGTCTGCCATTCCTGCAGATAGTGGGGATCAGAAGGCGGAAGGCTTCCTCTCCGTGAAGGACAGTCGTACGGGAGCCAAATACGCCTTTCCAATCTACCGGAATGCGGTGCATGCCCTCAGCTTTCGACAGATCACTGCTGATGACCGCCAAAATGCAAGCCAACATTCCAAGGAAGGGCTTCGCGTCTTTGACCCTGGGTTTCGGAATACCGCGGTGAAGGAATCCAACATTACTTACATGTGCGGTGTTCCTGCTCCTCACAACTCACTATCATGTCTAAGTGACCTGTCGAATTTGCCATTACAGCAACGGAAAAAGTGGCTTACTATGCTACCGAGGCCACACAATTAATGCACTTGAGGGGAAGACTTTCGAAGAGATTATCTATCTCCTCATCTGGGGAACACTGCCGTCTCAAGAACAACTCCAGCACCTTCAGAGATGCATTGCAGAGGAGTGCTTTGTCCCTCAAGTAGTTGAGACCGTTGTTACCAGCTTCCCGTAGGACTCTTTCCCTTACTATATTCGTATTTCTGACCTCGATTGATGAACCTGATGCTTCCGCAGACGGAATTCTCCATCAGTAGTCATCTTTATAGCGGCTCTCAGCGCCTTCGCCGCCGACCGACCGGACCTGCTACCCTCATACGTAGGACGCAACCTCTATGGGAATGACATGAAGCTAGTTGACGAACAGATCGTGCGCATCCTTGCTGTGGTTACTGTAACAGTATCCCTGATCGCCTGTCACAAAACTGGACGCCCCCTGAAATCAGCAGACGTCAGCGCAAGTATGATCGAGAACATTGTACACATGGGCGGCCTTGCAGAGAATTCGAGAGTGCCTGCCGCTACTATTATCGCCACGCTCCAGCGGCTATGGATTCTGTACGCAGACCATGAGATGACATGCTCAACCGCCGCTTTCCTGCACGTGGCATCGACCCAAGCCGATCCAATCTCCTCATTTATCGCGGCAGTCACGGCGGGGTATGGGCCCCTACACGGCGGGGCGATCGACACTGCCTACAATGTCATGCGAGAGGTCGGGACAACCGATCAGGTCCCCGAGCTCATTGCAAAAGTCAAACGGAAAGAGTGTCGATTGTTTGGATACGGACATCGAATCTACAAAGCGACAGACCCACGCGCAGAGGCGATCAAGGAGATCCTTCATGATCTCACTGGTGAGGTCCCTGTAAATGAGTGGGACCCGCTCCTTAAGGTGGCATTCGAGATCGATCGCATTGCTAGCAGCGATGATTACTTCACTGCTCGCAAAATTTTTGCGAATGCCGATCTGTATGGTAGCTTTGTCTACACTGCACTGTATGTCCTTTCTGTGCCCTGAGTATGCAACATAAAATAAGTAATCCATGCTAATGCAGTGTGGTCCTTGTCCAGGGGCATTCCTACAGAACTAATTACGCCCTTGGTGATTGTCTCACGGATCCCTGGCGTTCTGGCCCAGTGGAGGGAGTCTGTTGGTAAGTTCACAGCTCATACATTGTATCTCTGTCGAAGAAGTGGACTCACCGACTTCAACGTAGGTCGGCCCCCGGCAATATGGCGGCCCCAACAGATCTATACAGGGTCAGAGACAGGGAGTACCAGTGGAAATGATAGTTATATAAGCACTAAGGCTCCAAGATCGCCGGATAACAAAGTGAAAGCACCAAGTTCAAAATTGTGACTGGGATGATAAAAAACGTTCTGACTTTATGCTGATGTAGTATGTAAATTTGATCCTTATATATATGGAAAATTTACAACATCAGATTTGCTATGAGAAGGCTCTCATGGCTAGAGTTGCATTTAGACCAATAGGCACCTACACGGACTTGCTCGAGCGCTTCAGCCAGTGCGTTCTTTTTGAAGCGGCAAGTCGAAGCCTCTAGGGTGGATTTGAAATGACTGTCATATTTTCTCCCACCGCGATATGGCCTTGGAACACCGCCGAGATTAACATTGAATCTCACCTTATGAAACAAGCCGATCACAGTCTGAGTTGTTCTGCCCCAAGTTGGCGCTGGGGGCGGGAGAGTATTTCTCGTTCCTTTATGTATTTTTAGTTCCATCCGCAGACGGTCTTCCATGAGAGAAAGCCTGTTTCCCAAGATTCCTTTGGCAGCGAATCAAAGGCGATGTGGTCGGGTTGTGGGCTATCTCGGCTTCAGCCGTATATTGCAACGATATGTAGCAAGCCCGATCATAAATCTCAACGCAATCCAGAACGGCTCAGCTAAAATCATGGCAGAACCTTCATTCAATCTTTCCCTTGTAGCAGCCTTTGCCTTTTCTCAAGATTTAGAACTCTTATTTTTGCTTGCCTCATCATGGAAAACTCGGCAGGAAACAACCAGAAAGCTAGTGGCTCAGGCGCCTGTTCCACACCGCAGCATCATGATTCGGACAGAGCTACCATACCCAGCCGAAACCTCCAGGAAGTGATGCTCCTGACGGCGGTGCTGTCGCGTGGCTGGCGGTGCTGCGTGCTTGGTGCACTTCCTTTTGCAGTTTTGGCTGGCTGAACAGTATGATTGTCAACCGAGCTTTGGCTGTATGCGCTGACAAGACTTAGGTGTGGGTGTGTTCCAAGAGCACTATTAAAATGAGCTGCTTGACGCTATTTACTATGCATTGTTTCATGGATTTCATCGCTGGGAATCTTCTTCATGACGGGGCATGATGTGTTTTATCTTCTATTAACTGACGCAATTACTAATGATCTCTTAGGGACACTTCGTACGGGCCGTGTACGACCGCTACAGTCCCCGGCTATTGCTCTTAATACGTAGCATTATGCATGTCTTTGGCAGCATGATGGCTAGTCTTTGAAAAGAATACAATCAGACACTGCTTTTGCAGGGACTCCGTTCTGGTCTTGGTGCCTCTGCGATCTTCTCGCCCGGTAGGTTTCTCCATTTTCCAGGACCAAATCCGATGCTTTTGAATTAACCATGTCAGCTATTGCCTGCGCGGAGGGTTGGTTTAATCGCAATCGTGAAACAGTGTTCGGATTTCTATTCACAGCTTCCAGCGTTGGCGGTTTTCTTTCTCCGATCCTTCTATCACATCTCATCCGCGAATCGGGTTCGGTTGGGCTATGCGCGCCTGCGGATTTCTGCTCCTTCTCCTCCTGATCACTGCTAATCTGACTGTTCGTGCCTGGCAACCTCCAAGACCCATGAGGATAACAGGGGCGTGAGTCGTTAAGCCGCTCACTGAATTCCAATTCGTCCTGCGTGCGTCCAGCTTGCAGTCGGTTTCTTTCTCTTCACGTACGCCTTCTGCACGCCCCTTAATTACCTTCCTAGCCAAGCGCTAGCGTCAGGCATGAACGCGAAGCTTGCTTAGTATCTCCTGCCGATCTTGAATGCAGGCTCTTTATTTGGCCGTCTTTTCGCGGGCTCCATGAGCGATAAAATAGGCCGGTACAACATCTTCATCGTCGGCGCTATCTGTCTGGAGCTTTATTCTGGTCCTCTGCCTGCCGGACTCCAGCAGCATGGGCCTGATTGCCTTTGCTCTTTATTTTTGGCTTCTTTACCGGATCTTATGTATCCTTAAGTACGCATTTGATCATGCAGCTTTCACTGCTATGTTGAATGGTAATAAGGCTTTGGTATGACGCCCCTCAAATTAAGCAATAGCAGGGATTGGTGCGCATCGGTTAAAGAACTAGGGACGGTATTCACGACTATCCGTCGTTAACATCCTTCCTGGGAGATCGACTTTTATAGTACTTGCTTTTCTCTCTCTATTTAAACATGGTAGCTAAATTAGACGAGGAGCTAGATTGACCGAACTATGAAGGTCGGTTTACTTATGAAGACTCGTCCCGGAGTTTCTGGGTAATGGGCTGTGGCAAGCGTGCTGCCCAGCTGAAGATATTGATGTACCGACCACCATTGTCGCAGATTGACGCCGCTAATGTCTATGATGTGCGTTGAGGATGATACTGGATGTGACATATCTGGGCGCGGAAGCTCAGAGGTAAGCGGCAGGACAAATTGCAGGAGATTTTCATACAGAGCATGAAAATGGAGCTCGAATGCGGGGATGGGAGACATCTCGTGGCTGGTGGGTTTTGGGCGAGCAGAAACTAGCTTGAGATATGGCCATGTATTGGCAAAGGTTAGGAAGCTTCTTCAATGGTAAGAGCTTAGTGAGATAAAGTCCCATACCATTTGCTGGGTCAGCTCGTACGCCTCAACATCAAGCTCTTCGTAGAAGGGCTGCATCTGATGCGCTCTTGTCCATTTCTGGAGAAAGACCTTGCATTGTCGGAAAACAGCCTGAAGGCTAAACTGGTTGGCGGCCACAAAGCGCCTGGATACTGATTAGCCAAGCGTCATTGTCATTTGAAACCCAGGCAGTACATCAGGGTGTTATCACCGGTGTTTTGTTCACAACTGAATTGCTGGAAGCTGTGTTCGCGAAGAAGTTTCTTGAATAAACCCAATATCCCCCCAGTAGTCGCTGAATGGACCATTGCGTTGAATTGTTTGGAACTCGGATTATCCGAGATAGAATACCAATGAGTTAACCACAAAGCTGTTATGAGCCAGCCAATCGGAGGGTCTAGGAGAGATTGTCTGTCTGATGAATGCCCATGAAAGATCAGTTAGTATTTAATGAAGTATATGTCGCCACCGTGCTGAACGATAGCAAGTAGATTAAAGAAGACACTCAGAATGTCACAGAAACAGATTGTATACAAGCATGATAACAAATGATGCATGAATAATCAAGTGGTACACAAGCCACCTGGTACAAAAGAAGTTCCTTGGGACTAGAGGCTTTGAGTGCAGCGTCGGGGCGGAAAAAGTATTTATTAGTAACCAACAGGATGCATGGTTGAGAGCTGGCAAAAGAGGCAAAGTATTATCCTATTCATGATTAGTTAACTCTCTCTCGCAGTGAACTTGTAGTAGAATAATTAAGGAGTTAGTGAAAGACGTGTGAGACTACTCCAGCACTGTGATTGATTGGCACTAACTAAGCTTGCTTGTACTGGCATGTTTTATATCAATGATGAGGACTACATTCTGTTCCCACAGGATGAATACCACAACTATCCCATATCACAGAGAAAGCAGAAGGAAACAGACGGCACATGCATGTGAGCAATGTTGCTATCACAAAACCCATTACAACGGTGGTCGGCCCATGTGTGTTAGTTGTGTTCAGATAGGCTTTCAGCGTCGTTACAGCCCCCCATCAAGCTAATGCTAGGCTCAGACTCCGAGACGTGCTAAAGACCCTTGGCTATGAGTAGGAGAACGACTGACCAGAGTCGAGCAACTCATGCACACAGTCATGGCCCAGAGTAAAGTATTCCTGGATGTGTACTCATGGCTATCAAGTGTACCCTTGCCGACGCCTCAGGCGACTCAGATCGGGCCGATGGGATGTGCTGCATCATTTTTCCAAATGAATATAAAAGGGGTCATTCTGGTAAGTAAGCATTTCAGGCTGCAAGTATCCTCTGCTTAAGGGTTTTGACCACAAAGGTCCGACATCCCATACCGCCTCCTTGGACAACATCCTCCGTGCTGTTCGAGGGCTGTCATATCACAGAGCATCTAACATGTCACTCACCCCATCCTGGGAAGGAATCAGCGCAGTATCAAGATCCAGCACGCCCGTTGCCATAGGTTCAGGGAACTGGTGTTACTAACTGACTTAACACAGAATATGCAGGCCCCGTCCATGTTACCGGCCCTGACAGAGACGCAACATTTAGTGAAGATTTTCTTTGAACTACTGGGCATATCTTTCCATACATCAGAGAGACAACAGTCCTTGGTTATATCGCGTCCTTGCAGAAAAGCGATCCCAGTACACAGGAGCCGGTTGAGTATTGTATCCTCGACATGTGCATGGCATTTGCTACCATCCAGGGTCAACTGGGTCTACCGTCAGAAGATGACCTCACCTCATCTTATGATCATTTCCAGAGAGCACAGACCATTGTTTCGCGGATCCTAGGAGATGGCGAGGCGCGGATTCAAGTTGGGTGGATGTGCTTTCTGATGGACCGGTATGTTAGCATCTTGCATTGCCCACTATACTTCTCATGCCACTCTAATCATCTCTGTCCTTATTAACAGAATGTGCAGTATGACCTTAGGCCGCCCAGCTCTTATACCAAAGTCCTATATCACCAATACCCATCATCCCTACCCAACGGAGGTACCCAGTACAAGGAAGATAGGAATCAACCTTCATGAGGCATCTTCAGCAAAGTTATCCATCAGCACATTATTTATGTTAACATTGTAAGTGCTAATGTTTTTGTCTTGTATAATATGATCATATCTTTGCTGATAAATGCCAGTACTCTAAACCTTATTCCGGGTGAGATTATAGAGGATGTTTATAAACCATATTCTGGAAAGCAATATGTCTCTATCGCTGCCAGCCTTACTAGAGCGTGTCATTACCAGTAAAGAAAGGCTCAAAGACTAGAGAATGACATACCTACCATTACTTGGGTCTTCTGTATACAATCTCAATCCCAAGGATCCCCAACCAGGCCTATGGCAAGAGGAACATATGCTGGTTCTCCTTAGCCTGCAGTCCCTGAATGCTCAGTCCTTGCTTTATCACGCTGTGCTCCAGTACATAATCGGAGAAGCTTGTTTTGGATGTTTCTAGCTGATCCTACAACCAGGAAATAAACCATAGTGTTTGCTACTGTCTAGATTGTATAGTCCTATCTATCAAGCTCATCTCTCACAGCATGCAGCGGCCGACTCTGCTGCTGATATGGTAAGTGTCTGCATACTACAGTAAGTGCCCCTGATCTGTTGTCTGACCAACCCTTGAAGAATAAGATTGATGAGAGTATCAGCTCTTAATGCGTCCCTGAGACTGTTAGCTGCCGTTATTCTTCTCCTCAGGGGATTGGTAAATCTGCGGACGTATACTATTTCTGGCATCACTGGCATTCTTTAAACAGCCGTCGAAACGGTTAGTAGTATGCTGGAAGGGAATAGGGTAGTGAGACGATGTCAACAAACCATCAAGCAGATATCACACATATACTTAGCGGCAATACAGGATCAGCGAAACTTGATCAAGTCGAGAATCCTCGACCGCCGAAAAGAACAGTTGAGGCGCGATTCCCAGATCCCTCGCATCCAAGGGCGGCCCGAATCACCTGCATCGATGGATGGGCGTGGGATGTTCCCTCTGTTTGACATGGATTGGGCACTAGTAAGTAGACTCCCCGGTAAGTGAACTAGGGGTGCAATGTGGCGATTTGCATTAGCTCGTGGCATATGAGCGATGGAGTTGGACACTAACCTAATTAGTGTGTTGGCCTAGTCAAGTTTCTCTGTGCATACGTAATAGCCTTAATTTTTCAAGGCTATCATTTTGTATCGACTGTGCACGGCAGCGTGGCTTGCATGGGAGAAGAGCTGCCAGTACCCCACGGGGTGCGTAGCCCTTGGTATGGATCACCTAATGTCAAACGATCAAGAGGCTTGTACCAGTGCTTGATGTAACATTGGATTCTCAGTGGTCCTATTACACACGACTCCCTTACGAGGCATGAGGGCCCTTTAATTGTTCAAGTAGCAATCTATGGTAGAAAGAGAGTGCGCATTTCCTGCCGCTCCGTTCGGCTTCCTTATCAAGACTCTATGTCCAAAGACAGATACAAAACTGACTAGACTACCACCGGAAGAACCAAGTGTGACTGAAAAGTGCAGATCGAGTAAATAGTATGCTACCTTCATTGACTGTCTCTTCGTGGAATTGTGCGACATCCGGTGTCTGGTGTCGGAAGCTATTATTACCTTGGATGCGCACCTGGAGCACCTCACCCTGATGGAAAAGTGTCGACGTTGGGAGAATTCCAATGTCCACAGGAACAATCTCACCGGGACGTAGCAGCAGTCGGCGCTCATGGGGATGGAAAGGACAGTTGATGGCTGTCTTCGCAATATCCAATTCGCGGTAGCTGACACGCAGCCCGCCCGTGTCTTGGAAGAAAGGTCTGCTCCAATGGCATTTTCATAATTGGGACGATCGGGGTGGTTGCCTTGCCAGTACTTTCGCCCTGGCGACCGCGATGAAAACCTGTCGGCAGTGTTATTGAGCAATTTCTTTCCAACACAGACGCATGTCTATATCCATGTCTGAGCGAAACCGACAACAACTTCAAAGAAATGACATTCCAACAGTTGGGAGGCCTATTTTTTCTAATTGCCGAAGAATGATTCCAGGAGAAGGATTCCTTAATTATGCCGTGCGCTCGTGTTGATGAGAAATGGGAGACTCGACGGCAGGCATCGAGGCAGCCATCTCCACGCGGGAAAAGCCGAACCAATTACTGGATCAGGCGGATTGTTATGGTTACATTGGGTCGCCTTATTTAATTTGCTTAATTTAAGAGCCACCAACTACATGACTCAATTTGTCAGCATGTGAGGAATTAAAAATGACTCTTGAAGCCTTGAAGGCTCCAAGGTTATTAATAGCAGGCTCAGATCAGGTGACCTTGCTTTTAAAGTCGGACGCCTGAAAAAAATCCTTCGAATTCTCCATTCAGCAAATCAAGCAGCATCAATATGACTCTCAGTCTCACTCATGTCAGCACTAGCCTTTACAAAGGCCTTGCCATTGGGCTCCTTGTCTCATGGTCTCACCGCGCTCAGTCTGGCTTCGCTCAGCCTTTGTTGATTATCCGCTGCTATCCTGTTGCACCTTATAGTCAGACCCACAACCACATATGAACATTTCGTTCAAAAAAAGGAGAGAAAAGGAACTACATGCTTGAACGTCTACGCATTAAGTATAACTTTTACTCTTGATAAGGATTGGTGACATTAACCCCTATCTTGCTCGATCCGGCTTATTTTAACTTGGTCTGAGGCTTTTCTGAGCCAGTCTACCGCCCAACATTCCGGCATGGCAGACAACAACATCCGAGACCGCTTGAGGTCGCTGGCCTTCGACCTTAGCGAGGCCAGGGGTGCTCTTCGTGGCAAAGCTGTCCCTGTGGCTCTTGGACGCAGAATCACGCGACTTTGCGTCATCCGGGGCATTCGATACCACGAGCAATTCGCCAAGCATCCAGACCTCGAACAGCTCAGGCAATATGTGCCAGAAGTCTCCCGTGCTTTGAACGCTCGCGCAATTATGAGCAACAAGATTCCATCTATGCCTGAAGCGCGAGACAGACCCTACTGCATCTGGCACCCTCAAGTGGCATCGCAAGACACCTACAGGAAGCTGTGGCAGCAGTATCCTGACATGTCGTACCAGATTGCTCGCGCGTGTGCCGTAGCCAACTATGCGGAATTGTATCTCGAGATGGATCTGTTACCTGACGTCTCTGTTGCCGAGGAAGCTCGCGCTAGTGGATGCATGGAAATCTATGAAGCCATCGTGCGAAATCCTGTTCGATATCGCATCATGAATGATTACACCAGAGAGATTACGCTGCAGAATCCAAGGCCTGCATGTTTGAACGATGATACAGCCATCGTATCTACTCTCGATATTAAACAAGGCATCAGAAAACCCCGAGGCAAAGAGATAGAACCCATCATTGAAGGAGCGACCAAGGAAGTGTCCCAAGATGCCGACGATATGTTTGTTGACGAGATTGACTATCTTATTCCCTTTCCTGGGTTTGAGGAGAAAATGTTCAACATTACGGAGGACATGAACGTGGGCGAGGTGAATTCAGAAGAACCACAGCTGAATTACCTACCTGAACTGCTCTCTCAACCTCTCCCGGTTGATTTGCCACAGGGCAACAAGGACCTTTTGATCCTGATGGCGGCCTATTATGGGAACATCGAAAGATATGCAAGACTGCGTCGTTCTCGCATGATCGAAGGGGAGCCAGGGTGCCTCGTGCGTGGGATCTATCACAACTCTATGTTCGCCCTCTGGTGTAGGACCCAAACTATACCAAACTGGCCGGCCAGCTCGCATGCCACGAGTGCGATACATGCTCGGATGATTATGAACAATGACTTGAGTCGTATCATTAATCTAGACAAGAGGCAACCCTATAAAGAATTTCTTGCCCACATGCCATATCTAATCTGGTTCCCTAATCCAGCTGTTCACAATACATACAAGACTCTGGCGAGCACTGTGACTGAGATGAGACCGTCAGTCTTACACGCAGCGGTCTATACAGAGGATAAAGATCTCTTCGACTGGATGCTGGACGACCTCGGCGTGGCCCCGACCGGCCCTGCTTTTCAGGAAGCCAGGGTTCGAAACCGGGGAAGGGGAGACGCTCCTTCCCACTTCGTGCGTCGTCTAGAGGCTCGTAGTCAAGAACTAGGGATAGATCTTGCCGCTCCGGTTGCAAGTTTCAAAATGTACTCGGCGAAACTTAAGCAGGGTAGTACATATTTGGCGAAGGAGCTGACGCCGGCGGAAGTTCATAGCTCAGTGGAGGACTGGGGATTTTATGACGGATACATCGTAGATGCTTCCGAAGTGGAGTTATTTGCATCAGCACCTGAATCTTGGCGCCCAGACTCGTGGAAAGTTGAACTAAACTATGAGGACTGGCCGAAAAGGGGAAGTACTGATGAGTAGCTTAGAAGCATTAAGTTCCTAGTAAGAAAGACTTTTGAGCTACTTTGCAAGTCACCTCAATAATGGCCCGAGATATAGCTTGTGTCTTAGTAGGTGCGGTTGTTGCCTATCCTACGAGCAAGCTCCGCCCGCTCCTGTCAGGTGCTGCTTTATCAGTGCCATGACCCCCCATTCCCACTATAGCATCACCCCTCCCTGTCTGCCCCTGCTGTCTAATGCAAATGATCTAGGTGGTATTTAACTTATCTCTATATACTTAATCAGACTATATGTATTATAGAGCGGAGGTGCGGCGGATATCGGGTTCAGTGGATCTGTATGGCGCTAAGGTTTGGGGTCACCACCGGGCGGATTCCTCCTTGCCCCCGCATGGACTTGAAAATTCGCGGGGGAGACACTTTGGTCCAGCCTGGCAATGGAACCACAATCTGGACACGACACAATTCTCCCTTCATAATCCTGGATTGACTCTGCACACCGCGACTGTGACAGAGGATCTTTATGCGGCAAGAAACACGCTCACGCGCCGTCTTCATGGTGCAAATCCCTATGGAGTAGTGGAGATCGGCTCCAGCAACTTGGCGGATGGCGACCATGCCGGACTAGCAGCGTTGAAGGACGCAAGTCCTTGGATTGGCATAGTCCGCAATGGCACCGAGGATCGTGTGGTTGTTACTCATGGTCTTGCCATAGGAATGTACGGAGGAACGACAAGCACACGCACAACTGTAGCAACAACTCCGATTATCCGAATAAAGGTGTGGCTGAAGGTCAGTCTTGATGCTGCCGCCGTGGATTGACACGAAGCGCACTTCTTCTACAGCTTAGATGGGAGCACATTCATCGAGCTGGGAGACGCCTATTCTCTTACCACCGACTATCTTTTCTTTATGGGATACTGTTATGGAATTAGGGTTTTAACTACGCGACCCAGGCTCTGGGTGGCTCTGTTGATGTGCTTAGATTTGCAAGTGAGTCTAGCTAGGAGCCATTCGCAAGTTTTAATTGTGATATGCTTAATTTGGTCATGAATGGTTGTTGCAACCTGCTGTCGTTGTGTATCACTCTTATCTAGATGGCCAAGCACTAGGGTTGGAGGGATGTCTATAACTTTGTCCAACGTCCTCTAGCTGGTGTCGTTATGTCTCCGCCCAGTAGATTGTATATATATAGCTAGCTACAGAGCTGCACATTCGATGCTGCTAATTATGGTTTTATCCAATGATGTTGCATGCTTCTTGTGCAGGATAAGGGTAGTTCCAATATCCACCTGGGGCCTGCAATTAAAAACCATGCAACTGGGACACGGCAGAGCAAGAGCCATCGCACATATCGTCCTTAAAAGCTCTACATCTGAGCTTTGTACTTACTAAGTATGGTTGAGAACCAGCCATGGATGAGACTACTACCGATCGGATTCTTGTTAATTAAGACTAAAAGGTACGGTTGGTTCATAGGACTAGGGCGGGGCCAATAGCCGTGTAGATCACACATTTTACTTTTGCAAAAGACCTTGATAGAGTGTGATAGCTTCAGGGAAGCAAGCAGAGTGATAACCATCCCCCTAAATCATTGTATGGTGTATGAAAGATGGATGGTTATACACACAGTGACGCCGTCAAAGTAACCGGCTGGGGACAACCATAGACCTTCTTGTGAGCCGGTGTACTGTAGCAGCCAGCATCATTAGCCGCGCAGTCAAATTCCTCACAGCCTTCTCCAGGGCTCAGCGTGTTGTGGTTTGCCGCGAAGGGGTTACCCCATTCATTGCTCAGCTCATCTGAAAAATACTGTTAGTGGAAGATTTCATAGAGGACAAGCAGATATGGAATACTCACAGTACGCATAGTCTGGGTTAGAAGAGAATGAATAGCCAAAGAAGAGAGGCTTATCCAGCGTTTTGGTCTTGGCGATCTTGATGGTCTGCGCATTCATTCTGGTCAGCCTCTCTCATTATCTGGCTTCAGGGCAGAACAGATAAACGTACCGATCCAGAGGCTCTGAATTTCTCCGAGAATGTTCCGCCCGAGGGAATGGTGGTCAGAGGGCCGGGGGCGCTGCCATCGTAGGGGAACGACTGCACATACACGGTGGTGCTACAGTCGTTATTCACGATGGCATTCTGGGCAGAGGTCAGGCCGAGGAGGGCACCGAACGCAATCAGAGAAGTCTTCATGGCGGATATTAGTCGAAAGGTTAGCAAGGAATAGTTAAAGTACCTGTCTCACCCCCGATTAAATGAGGGGAAGCCCGGGCTTCATATAGCTCTGCTACTCAAACACCGCAGTACCAATGAGTTACCGATGAGGAACATCCAAGAAGAGCATCCAAGACATCGCGGCGCCCTGGCCCATTCAACGTCCTGGATTGTCAGGCCACCGCTCGGGTATCCGTTTCCCCGCCAATCAACACGGGTGGTAGGTGAGACATGCGCATCATAGCCACTGCATGTACTCCGCATCAGACACCGCACGGGATACCGTTGCATCCCGGAGGCCAGTTTCTCAACATTGGATGGGCGTCCTGTCGATAGTGATCCACGTCAAGTAAGGATGATCTCAGTGGTGTGGAGAAACTCCTGGAATCAAGGAATTCGTCAGTCTAAAATCTCAGCTGGTTTCCCCACTTCTGACCCCCCCAAAGTCATTTGCCCGTTCCCCTCGTGAATGCGATGGTGGATGCTGTCCCCCGTCAGACCGCGGCTCCATGGGAATGTCGCAGAGACGATGTGTATATTCTTCCTTCCAAAGTAGACATGTCCTTTAGCTCCCTGATTCATGCGAAGGACTCCAGGTCAGTCATGTGGTCAACCCTCCTGGTTTAGTTTGTATGGTTGCTGGTAAGACGAGGTCCTCTCCGGGCATTTACTCGTTAACCTCCGAGTTCTAGCGACGACAACTGTGTCTTCAGCCCAAGACAACCTTGCCTGATCATTATTATGAAGCTCATCACGAAAACTGAGGATCCGGGATGTTGTCGGATAATTTGCCTGTTTCAGATTCAATGGGGGTCGCGACCTCCCGTAATATTGTTTTGCCCAGGGCCTCGCTGGACTATCTTGCCCTGTGAGATCTTCTACCCCAGGGATGAGACGGGCAGCCATGGGCTGTTTTCCGCCTGAATGATTTATATTCCACACCAATTACTACTGTCATAGCTTCCAGTCCTTGGCACTTGTTTCTGCCGCACACTGTGCAGCTCTTTCGCTTCGACTCATTATACCATATCCTTCCCTGATAGCGTGTGTGGGCTTTGTACATCCTCCATATTGGTTGGTTCCCCCGGGACCACTCCGGTCCCAACACTGCAGAAGTCCTGAGCCACACCAGACATGCGTCAGTCAAGGCGCCGATGCATTGTTAGGCTTTAACAGTTGCGTGTACCGCAGCAATTTCTCCTCGCCGGTGATGCCCGGGAGCGCGATGAGCGAGTTCACCGCAGAAGGTGGTACAAGCCAACGGACCGTCAGGTTTTCCAAACAACATCTGTCCACCCACACGGATCGGACTTTTACGCACTTTTAGACTGGCACTTTCCACTTTGCAGTATGTGCTGAAGTCGTTGCCGCGAAAATTGAAGCTGATCTGTCGCATATTGCACGTAAGGAATCGGCATTCATGCGGGAATCCTGGGTGCTGTCGGGCATTTGTTTGCAGCTGGGAAAAGCTCCGTCGCCTCTCGCTCGCTGCAGCACCTGCTCCTGCGCCGGTCATCGACTAGTGGGCATAAGGCATATGCACCGCTCGGTGAAATGGAGTAGAAGGCGTGCAGCATCCATGGGAGGTTTGCGCATCACAAGAATTCATTCAACAGATCTCACTGCCGCTCACTGGCTTCTGTTTGATACGGTTGCTGTAGATCCCTAACGGCGGCGCGTTCTCGAATTCAAGCTCTGTCGGTCATCAGCAGTATCAATCAACCGCAAGCGGGCAGAGTGAATTTTATGTCTCTGCCGCTGGCACTGGGCTTTAAAACCCTACGATTGATCCTCTTTTGCCGTGAGGTCTTCCTGGTCGAAATACTGTACCCGCTGCTGCTCAGCCAATATCAATTTATTATCACTCAACATGCCGAGAGTCATACCCTCAGGGCCGGGCATATACTCCACGCCCTGAAAGCCTGAAAATTACAGCTCTAATTCTAATTAGCACAGTGTCCAGAGAATAGAAGCACCAACATATACTCCTCAGCAACCTTCTTAATTCTTATGACATCTATCCATAGTATACAGTGGATAGACCATAAATGGCTTTCAAAAATATTATTCTAATCTATTTCTTACCCACCCTCTAGCTGCTACGTATAGGGGCCCCCCGCCCCTGTTGGGTGCTGTCGTATGGGAATCCGCAGCCCCCTCACCTGGTGGCTGCATCCGCCCCAGACCCCCACCCCCGCCCTTATGGGGCCCTGATCAGCCTTGTGTCTAGTACACTGTATCTAGTGGCCTTGAACAGTCCTGTGCCTGATGTCCCTGTCCACTAGTATAGCTGTGCAATCTGCCTGCACCTGTTAGGATTGGGCCTGCCCTGCTGTTGACCTGGGGTGACCCACCTACCCCAGGCACCCCAGGGTGCCTGTGATTGATATCTGCTGTCCCTGGTCATCTAGGCAGGGCCCCTAACCAGGCCATAATCTGCCTTACTATATAGTTAGGGAGATGGTTCCTGCTGGGTGCAGTGGCTTAGGTGTGGGTAGTATATCTGAACTATAGAGATATATATTACTATATCCCTACTTCCTAGTAGGCCTAGGTCTAGACTGCCCTCTAGGTATAGGCACCCCCTTTAGCACCCTCTAACTCCCCTTAATTAGAGTTGCATAACCGAACCGCTAAAATCGAATCTGACCCTCACCGAACTTGCAGCGGTGAGGGTTCAGTTCCTAGCCTAGGGAATTACTTTGGTTTTAGTTTAGGTAGGGTGAAACTGATTTGAGTTTGGTTAAAACTGTTGGTTTCGATTTTTAAGGTTTTATCAGATTTGACTAACCAACCCTCACTG